AAAGAAAGAAAAAGGAAAAAAAAACAAAAAAAGAAAACGAAAAAAAAAGAAAAGAGGAAAATCTTCGAGAGATTTGATTTACAAAAAAGGAAAATCTTGAAAGAGAAAATGAAGGGGAAAAATAGGGAGGAAAAGAGACAGATCATTCAATTTCGAAATTGATAATTAAATAAAAAGAAAATAAAAGACTCTCTCTCTCTCTCTCTTTCTTTTTTCTTTATTTCTACGTAGCCAAAAACAAGGATAGATGATGATGGCTTGCATAACTTTCTTTATTATAAAGAGATACACATACACACACATATACATACATACAGACACGAGATGATAATTATTTAATAGCATGCTCGAGTATATAGAAGCATCACAAGTATCACAAGCGATACCAATGTGGTATACACACTTACACATAAATCATATGTATATACATATACGCATACACACACACACACACACACACACATATACATGTTAAAATGTAGAGAAAAGAAAAGTGAATCATATATGCGCGTGTGTGTCCGTGTGTCTATAAGCGAATTATACATACACGGAGACACCGAAAGAGATGCATACATACATATCCGGATCTTCACGTCTTGCGTTTGCGCGCACGCACATTCTTATTATTCACTAGGCACTACATACTTCTCTCTCTCTCTCTCTCTCTCTTTCTCTCTCTCTCTCTCACCCTTAAAGCGTACGTACTTGAACGTATATGCATGAGTATGTTGTGTTTATCTATCTTCTGATGTTGTCTTTTTCTCTCTCTCTCTCTCTCTTTTTCTCTCTCTGTGTATGTATGTATGTATGTATGATGTATGTATGCGTTCGTATCGACTGGTGACCCCGTTAGTTAGCAGCTAGCTTGCTAGCTAGATAGCTCGCTCGCTCGCTCGCTCGTTCGCTCGTTCGTTCGTTCGTTCGTTCGTTCGTTCGTTCGTTCGTTCGTTCGTTCGTTCGTTCGTTCGTTCGTTCGCTCAACTCTTCCTTTCGGTCTTTAAGCGAAAGTAAAGGCCTCGCGTAAAAAAGGTTCGCAAACTGGTTTTTCTGGTATATATTAATGCTTAAGTAGGAGTTGCAAATAAATAAATAAATAAATAAATAAATAAATAAATAAATAAATAAATAAATAAATAAATAAGTAAAGAAATAAATATATGTGTCTGTGTGTATGTATATACACATATACATATACATTTATATATATATACATATATATATATATATATATATATATATATATGCATATAGATACAAATATATGTTTGTGTGTTTGTTTGTTTGTTTGTTTGTGTTTGTTTGTTGTGTATATGAATGAGAATATATACACACACAACACGTACGTACATAAGATAACAGATTTAAACGTGTATTCCTCACATGCATAAATAATATGTATTAGCATTATATGTGCATGTCTGTGTATACGAAAAACGTAAAACGTCTTATCATTTCTATTATCATTTATTATAACTATAAATAAATCGTTGAAAGTGGAGCAATTTTTGCAATGGTCTCTCTCTCTTCGTTTGTAGGTATGTGTATTTACATACATACATACATACATACGTACATACATATATATATATATATATATTAAAAAAAAAAAAAAAGAAAAAGAAAGGAAAAGAAAAGAAAAAGAAAAAATTCAGAGATTTTTTTTTAAATGAAATATTCATATTCAAATTTGATTCTTATTTGTGCAAAAGAAAAAAAAAGGAAAAGAAATAAGAAAAAAAAGAAAAAGAAGAAAAAAGCTGTGCCTAGAAAATAAATAGAGGAGAATGTTTTCAAAGAGGAAGAAAAGAAAAGGAAAAAAAAAGAAAAAGAGGAAGTCAAATTTAATGATGTCCGGAGAGCTACGCGATATGTGAAAGATAAGGGGGAATGTTACGTGACGATTTTTATTTAATATTTTCTTTTTTTTTTTTTTTTTTTTCAATGGAGAGGATTCACCGACTGTAGGAAAATAGAAAGTATATATGTGAAACGAAAAAGGGGCAAAAAGGATATTTATAGAGCTTCACGAAGCAAAAGGAAACACGCATGAACTTGACTTGTTTAACTTATCGCGTACTATATATATATATATATATATATATATATATATATATGTATGTATGTATGTATGTATATATTATTCGTGGGCATGCACGTGCTTGTGTATCTATATCTATGTGTGTGTGTGTGTGTGTGTATATTACGTGAAGTAGACTTACATACCGGATATCCTAAGATTAATGTGTGTCCACGGTATTATCAATTGTAATTATTATCGAATGTAGGTGCTAATGAAAACAAAGAAAAGGAAGGGAGAAAAAAAACAAAAAAAGAATATAAAGTAACAAATGGAAAGGAAGAGGAAGGAGAAGGAAAAATTCAAATACCAATTAGAAAAGAGAATAGATCAAAGAGAGAGAGAGAGAGAGAAAAGAAGGAAGAAAAAAACTGTATATGAGAAAAAAATGTTTGGTTAAAAAAAATTCTTATCGACTAACAT